CGGGCCGGCTCCCGATGGCGCACAAGAACGACGTGGAGCGCGCGACGCCGTAATGACGAAGAAGGAGGTTCGCCTGATTAACGGTGAACTCATTCTCGAGTGTAAAATCCCTACCATCCTCCACAGTTTCCTTCCACGACGAGACGACATCGAGTTCACGCACATGCGATACACGGCCGTCACATGCGATCCAGACGACTACTGTGACCGTGGATACAAATTGCGCCAAAACATCGGCAACCCGCGAGAGACCGAACTGTTTATCGCCATCACCATGTACAACGAGAACGAGATTGACTTCACCCGAACAATGCACGGTGTCATGCAAAACATCAGTCACTTCTGCTCCCGCATGAAGTCAAGAACCTGGGGAAAGGACGGATGGCAGAAGATCGTCGTCTGCATCATTGCGGATGGTCGCGGAAAGGTTCACCCGAGAACACTCGACGCGATCGCTGCCATGGGATGCTTCCAGGAAGGTATCGCAAAGAACCACGTCAATCAGAAAGAGGTCACTGCCCACGTCTACGAATACACAACCCAAGTCTCGCTGGACTCAGACCTCAAGTTCAAGGGTGCTGAGAAGGGCATTGTCCCCTGCCAGATGATCTTCTGCTTGAAGGAGAAGAACTCCAAGAAGCTGAACTCTCATCGTTGGTTCTTCAATGCTTTTGGCCGCGCACTCAACCCGAACGTCTGCATTCTACTTGACGTCGGAACCAAGCCTGGACCCAAGGCTCTGTACCATCTGTGGAAGGCCTTCGACACTGACTCCTCCGTCGCTGGAGCTGCTGGAGAAATCAAGGCTGGCAAAGGCAAAGCGTGGCTTGGTCTGCTCAACCCGCTTGTCGCATCGCAAAACTTCGAATACAAGATGTCCAATATCCTTGACAAGCCATTGGAGTCTGTTTTTGGCTACATTACGGTCTTGCCAGGTGCGCTTTCGGCATACAGGTATCACGCGTTGCAGAACGATCACACCGGCCATGGTCCCCTCAGCCAGTACTTCAAGGGAGAAACGCTCCATGGTCAAGATGCAGATGTGTTCACTGCAAACATGTACTTGGCCGAAGATCGTATTTTGTGTTGGGAGCTTGTAGCGAAGCGCAGCGAGCAATGGGTCTTGAAATACGTCAAAGCGGCGACTGGTGAGACGGATGTGCCAGGTAAGAGTTCACGAACGCGATATTTTGATGACCCACTAACATATCTCAGACACTGTACCAGAGTTCATCTCCCAACGTCGTCGTTGGCTGAACGGAGCTTTCTTCGCGGCCGTCTACTCACTTCTGCATTTCAAGCAAGTGTGGGCAACCGACCATACCATCGGGCGCAAGATCCTACTCCACATCGAATTCGTCTATCAGTTCGTGCAACTCCTGTTCACGTTCTTCTCGCTTGCCAACTTCTACCTGACCTTCTACTTCGTCGCCGGCTCACTGTCAGACCCGGAACTCGATCCTTTCGGCCACAACATCGGAAAATACATCTTCTACATCCTCCGCTACACATGCACGCTACTCATCTGCATGCAATTCATCCTGTCTATGGGTAACCGACCTCAAGGTGCCAAGAAGATGTTCTTCTGGAGTATGGTCATGTATGGTGTCATCATGGCTTACACTACCTTCGCTTCCTTCTACATTGTCATTGTCCAACTCAAGGATCCGAAGGCAGAAAAGACGATAGGCGCCAACGTCTTCACCAACCTCATCATCTCGACTGCGACAACGATTGGTCTCTACTTCCTCATGTCCTTCATGTACCTGGATCCATGGCACATGTTCACGTCGAGTGCACAGTACTTCGCTCTCCTACCATCGTACATCGCCACTCTTCAGGTATACGCCTTCTGCAACACCCACGACATCACTTGGGGAACCAAGGGAGACAACGTAGCGAAGACCGATCTGGGTGACGCCAAAGGAAAGAAGAAAGACATTGTCGAACTTGAAATGCCTTCCGAGCAACTGGATATCGACAGCGGCTACGACGAGGCGCTTCGCAACCTCCGTGACCGTGTCGAAGTTGTCGAGCCCCCGATCTCCGAGTCGCAGCAACAGGAAGACTACTATCGTGCCGTGCGTACCTACATGGTAGTCATCTGGCTCATCTCCAACGCTGTCCTCGCCATGACTGTCAGCGAAGCCTACTCGGACCGCAAGGTGACGAACAACTTCTACCTTACCTTCATTCTCTGGGCTGTCGCTGGTCTCGCCTTCTTCCGTGCCATTGGCTCCACCACTTTCCTCATCATCAACTCTATCCAGGCCATCATGGAGACGAAGCTCAAGTGGGAGGACAAGATCGACGACAAGAAGAGCAATAGAACTGGTCTTGGAGGCGGCCGCAAGTACGGAAGGAACAAGTGGTGGAAGTTTGGATTTGGCGGCGGCGGCGTATCGTCGAGTTGGTTCTCTGGCAGCACGATTTCGAGTAAGCTTAGTAGCATGACTCCCAGTAGCTGGGGCGGAAGCAGCGTTGGAAGATAGGTATACCCAGGGTAAGGAAGGGGCGGTAATGTGGTTTGTACTACGACTTCACGATGGACTGATCTTTGGCGTTTTGGATGCATACTTTGGGATGATACCTGAGCTGGGCTGTTGAGCTCACTCCAGTGTAGTAAATAGCTTCTTGTGAATAATAACGATTCTCTCCTATCGGCTTTGATCAGAAATAATGTTGCGTTCGTGAAGGTTTCGCCGGCTGTTCTGGGGGTGACGCGCCAGTTCAGGAAGGCACGCTAGGGTTGTGTGTTTACATCCATCCCACTCCCGCTCCCATCCCGCCGCACACGCAACCGGCGCAACACTCCCCACTTGCCTACCCAACGTACCGGCGAGATCAAAATGGCGCCCAGAAGTAAAACCGCGAACATTTCCTTCACAGTCGACTCGGCCTCGGAAGACGAAATGACGGTCGACGAGCTCAATGCGCTTCCCACGCCCGAATCCACCAGCGACAAACCCGCGCGAAAAACGCGTGGTACTGCTGCGCAAACGAAGAAGACGGCTGCGGCGACCAAGGCGACTGCTAAGGGCAAGCCGGCGACGCGTCGGACGAGCGGTACAACCGCGGTGGCTATGAAGAAGAGCGCGGCGGCTGGCGCAAAGAAGGTAGCGGCGAAGGGCGGTCGCAAGGCACAGGCGGAAGTCGAGGAGGCCAATGCGAGCGACACGGAGGAGGTAGAAGACTTTGAAGAGCCGGAGCCGGTTGCGCAGGCCAAACCAGCTAAGAGAGGCAGGCCAGCGAAGAAGGCGCAGGAAGAAGAGGTCGAAGAGCCAGCACCAGCGCCAGCAAAGAGAGGGCGCAAGGCAGCTGCGAAAGAACCCGCTGAGAAGAAAGAGACAAAAGCGAAGCCTGCGCCAAAGTCAAGAGGAACAAAACGCGCGACCGAGCCAGAACCCGAGCCTGAGCCGGTGACAATCCCCGAGACACAACAAGAGCCAGACGCAGACACTATGGACATTGAAGACTCGATTGAAATGGGCGAAGAGATACCTGAAAGCATGCCTCCCCCACAATCACAACCCTCCGCACGGCGAGCACAAGCCCAACCAAACAGCAGAGCGCGCCGCACATCAGCGTCACGGAAAAGAACAGGAAGCGTGTCAGACTCTGAGCGCGACCCAGTGATGCGACGTAAAGTCGGTGATCTCACCAGGAAGCTAGATGCCATGACCGCCAAGTACGAAGCGCTCAAGGAATCCGCGTCAACAGGCAAGGAATCGAACTTTGAGCAGCTTAAGAAGCGGACAGAGCAGATTGCCAAAGGTATGCCTTTCTACATCTACATGTTATGAGGAAGCTTGTTGCTAACGCGAAAGACAGACCAAGACGCCGTAATCAAATCCCTAAAAACGCAACTCACAGACCTCCAATCCCGCACCTCGACCCTCACAACCCTGAAGAAAGACCTCGCAGCCTCCACAAAGGAAACTAGTCGTCTTGCCGCTGAAAACAAGAAACTCGCCGATGCTCTCGCGACCGCGCAGAATGAGAGCAAGACGCTGTCTAGCAAGCTCGCGGCCGCTCGTTCCTCCTCGCAACAACCTGAGACAAAGAACGTGCCTGGTAGCGCGGTGAAGCAAAGGACAACAGGGGTTGTATTGCCAGGTACAGCGGAAGCAGCCAAGGAAGCGACGCTCGCGAAGCAAAAAGTGGATTTGTATAGCGACTTGACGAATCTGGTTGTCCTGGGCGTGAAGAGGAGTGAGGATGAGGAGGATGTGTTTGATTGTTTGCAGACGGGGAGGAATGGGAGTAAGTCTTTTGCACCATCCACAACCCTCTACCATCCCCTTCCCATTACCACTGCCCCTATCATTTCCCCTCTCATTGTACTAACCTTCCCATAGCTCTACACTTCCACCTCACAGTCGCCACCTCGGGCTCCTCCTACGAGGAAACAGAGTTCATCTACCAGCCGCTGCTTAACGAACAACGAGACAGGGAACTATTGGACTTGTTGCCGGATTATCTCACCGAGGAGATTTGTTTCCCCAGGGCGCAGGCGGCGAAGTTTTATTGCAAGGTTGTTGATAGTATGAGTAAGAAGATTGTGCTTGAGGAGGATGGGGAGTAAGGAGGGATAGGGATATGAGGAGGATGGGGGAGGACGGGCTCGCTGTTCAGTGAGATGGCATGCACATTCCCGCTGTTATGTTCTGCGATGGTTGCGAGGGCTTTATACCTGGTTGGTTGATTCGTATCTTCTGCTTGTTTGTTAAGATCGCAAATACCCAGTCACGTTTATCAGTCGTCATCTAATTGGTAGTATCCCATCATCTGTGAAAAGCGTGGAAGTGAAGAGTTGATAGAGTCGTTCCAATGCTTGTTTGTTGGTACAATGGGCGATATCTACAATGCTGTCTCCTTCCCTGGAAAGCATACGCGCGTTTATCCGAGGATATATCGAATTCCGCGACGTGTGTTTTCATTCGTCATCTACCATCATTCCCCTCGGTTCGAGCCGGATGCCATGTTGGGTTGTGTCGTGTTTATTGCTTTCCTTGGACCTTGTCGGCGGCCTTCTTGACGTACTCCCTAAAGTAATATATTAGCCGTTGTCCCCTCATAATCCATCCCATCGTTTTCGCAGCTTTTCCAACTCCATGCCTCTCGCAGACAGATCAATGTCTGTGTGTCGCTATAGACGTGCGGAGGTGCGCAGGTGTGTAGACACATAGGTCTGAAAGGGTGGTGTGTACGCACTTGACAAAGTTCTCCTCATCAGGGCTCTTCGCGTTGATCGGGGGAGTGGTAGGGTCCTCAGCCTTCTTGCCGCCCATGGAGAGCGCAGCACCGGTGAATGTCACGCCGAGGGTGGCCATTGCGAGCTGTAGAAACGTTCGTTAGCCTACATCCTTCATATCCTCCAAGCCAATCCCATTATCCCCAATTGATCCTCTCCGGCCCCAGAGTCGCCGAGAAAGTACGGGCAGAGCATGCGCCGCACTGCAGTTATTCGCAACTTCCCAATCCAAACTTTTCCTCCCGGAGAGATGTAGAAAAGGCAAGAACATACGACGTGCGATCCGACCTGACGGCCCATAATAGTGTACATAGCAACCATCTTTGCGGTATTCGAGGGTTTTCCGTGCCGTAAGCGGGGTGATGCGTCGTCAATGGATGGAGGGTGGAGGTAAGAGAGTCGTGGGGTGGGTGCAAGCGTTGCCGGGTGCTTGCGCGGAGCTCTCTTCGGAAGAGAAGATGGGGCTTGGCGGGCGTGTGGCTGGTGCGTGGCGCAAATGGGGGGGGGGAAAGAGCAGGGATCTGGTGGGTGGCTGGTGGCCGGTGGTTACGAAGCGATTTAGTGGGTGTGACGTCTGTATGCGGCTACCGAGGTGGTGTGAGTGAGCTTGTTGGGGCCTGTGAGGTAGGCAGTAGTGGTACCGAAGAAGCATGGGGTGGTAAGCTTATACTACCAGCGCTTGCTCGATTACCTGTTCTTGTTCTCTTTCTCTTCGCTTTTTCTCTTTTGTAGCACGACGCGCACGCAGCTGGTTATTAAGAGAAGGAATTGAGCAACACAGCGACCATGGCGAAAGACAGCAACAAGAAGATCGAAGAGATCGATGGTGTGCCTATAGAGCGACAAGGCGCGCGACCAGACTTCTCGATTCCACCGCCGAGGAAACAGTTACCGAAGGAGCTTCAGGATACACTCAATGATGAGGAGAAGTTGTGGGAGGTGCTATATGATGGCGAGTATGTATACATCCCCAATCCCATCCTTACGATTGCCAGCAATGCGCCTGCTCTCTCCTCCTCTCCACGATATAGATAGCTAACATAATGACAGAGGCGAAGACACAACAGACACCTCCCTCCGCTACGCCGCCTACGCCTCGCGCATCCGCACCATCATGCTCTCCGCCCACCGCTACGTAGCCTACACCTCCGACATAGGCGAATCCTTCCGCCCCATCGCACACCCTTACCTCGTAAAAGGCGCCTACGGTATCTCCTGGCTCTACCTCATGGGTGACGTCTCGCACGAAGGCTACAAAGCGTACGTTCGCAACCAGCGCATACTCCACCCTGAGAAGTACATAGACGACGCCGCAGAGAAGAGCCTGGAGAACGCGACGAGTAAGGATAGGGATATGGCGGCGACGGGTGGCAAGAGTAATGCGGCGGGTATCTTTGATAAGGTGCAGGAGGCTGCGAAGCAGGCGACGAGTACCGAGGGGGTCAAGTATGGGGATGCGGGAAGTGCGTTGACGGGTGGGCAGGTTGTTGGCGGAAGGATACCGGCGATTGAGGATTACAGGGCTGTCATGGCACAGAGAGCTGTGTTCCAGGCTGTTGCGAGTATGGGTCTGCCGGCTTTTACTATTCATAGTATAGTCAGGTACTCGGGGCGTGCGCTGAAGGATGCGAAGAATAAGACGTTGAGGACGTGGGGGCCTATTGGGGTAAGTGGTTCTGTCGAAGTAGATTGGAAGGGGAGTAAGATACTAACGATACGATAGCTTGGTCTCGCCGGTGTACCTTTCCTACCCTACATTTTCGACGAACCGGTTGAGCATGCGACGGAGTGGCTGTTTTATAATGCATTCAAGACCTTTGGCGGAGAGAAGGCGGTTGAAGGAAGGCCCGCGACAGGCGTCAAGGAGTTGAGAAAGGAGGAGACCGAGGCGAATAAGTTGAAGAAGGAGTTGTAGAGGGCTTCGACGAGGATGCACGATGGTTGTAGATATCATGAGTTACGGCATCCACTCAGTATGAATGTATATAAGAAATTCATCTCTTCGAGACGCTTGACAAATGACCATGTGTAATCCGATTCTTCTGAATGGGTATATTTGCAATGTATCAAGATGATTCTTCTAAGTGCCTCATCAAGCCTCCGCTCAAGCTTTTCCTTTCTTATTTGCTTTCTCACAAGCCTCCGTAAACACCCTTAACAACTCCGGAAAATCACACACGTTCATCGACTCGAACGCCGGATTCTTGTCGATCTTCAATGCACTCATACGCGGACTCTTGATGCCAAAAGCGAACTTAGCGAGAAACCTAGGGTCATCGCGTACGCTGACTGCCTTCAGTACTTGTTGGATCTTAGCTGGGTCAGGAGGTTGAGGCGGTTCATCCGGCAGTACGGCTTGCGTATGAGTCTCGCACCACGTGCAATGCCCGCATTCCTCTGCTATATCAGTGCTTTCTCCGAAGTAGTCTGCGAGTGACCTAGACAGGCAGCGTTTGTCGGTGATGAGGTTGATTAGGGCTTTCGTGCGTGCGAGATTCTGTGTTTCGGTCTTCTCCATGGTTTCGTCCAGCTGCGCGACGATCTTGTCGATCTCTTCGGGTGTAGATGGTAAAGGACGTTCGAGGCGGTAGATGTTCTGCACGCCTTCTTTCTTCAGCTCGATCGCGCCGCGCTCGTTCCATTCGTCCATTTTGCGCACTAGATCCGCTCGAGGTATACTGGATGAGTTCGCTAGGTCGTCCAAGGCGACGTGCGTCCATTTGCTACTCTGGACGGATGCTCTGACGATAGCGGACGCGGCTGATGACCCATCATTCTTTACGAGATTCGGATTTTTTGTGATGTACGAGTATTTCGCGTAGAGAGCCCCAGCAGAACGGAAGAGCCCAAAGTTCAACTCCATTTGCGCGTACAGGATACCAAGAACGATAGCTTTGATATCGGTTTGCTGACCCTGCGTATACAATGAAAGCTGGAAAGTATCACCTGCTTTGAGCTTCGAGCGAGCAGGAGAACATATGTCCTGCATCAAGAGCTTCAATGAGCGGTGCGAAGGCCGGTCGCCGTAGGTAAAGATGTTGCGGAGGTAGAAATCTTTCGTTGAGAGGTAAAACATGCACGTACTCGGCTTCTCGTCTCGTCCAGCTCTGCCGATTTGTTGACTGTAAGACTCGATGCTGTCAGGTATGTCGAAATGAACGATGCTACGAATGTCTGGTTTGTCGATGCCCATACCGAATGCGATCGTTGCGATGACGATCATGTCAGTGCTTGCCAGAAACTCATCTTGCGTTTTCGTGCGCAACGGTGCAGACATTCCGGCGTGATAGAATTTGGCGTTGAAGCCACGCTTCTTCAGTTCTGCGGCCAGCATCTCTGTGCCCTTTTGGATCGTCACATATACGATGGTAGGACCTGGGTACTTTTTGACGTGAGCAGCAAGTTTCGACACGTAGTCGGCGTCTTTTCCGTTCGCCTCGGCAAGAAGACGTAGATTGGGACGGTACATGGTTGTCCTGAACAGGCCCTCTTTCGATATGGAGAAAGCATCCCGGATGTCTTCGGCAACCTGCGGTGTGGCTGTAGCTGTCAAACACACGACTCTCTCAACTTGTGCTTCTTTTGCGAAGCGAGCAATCTTGAGGTAATCCGGACGGAACGAGTGGCCCCATTCTGAGATACAATGCGCTTCATCTACGGCTAGCAGACGTATACCTCCGGGAATGTCTTTGAGCGACGCAATGAAACCTTCGCTGTTGAGACGTTCTGGTGCGCAGTAGATCAGATCTAGATTTCCTTTCTTGAGGTCGTCTTGCGTAGCCAGGAATTGGTCGCGAGAGATGGACGAGTTCAGCACGGCAGCCTTGATACCGCGGCGCAAGAGGGCATCGACCTGATCTTTCATCAAGGCAATGAGTGGCGCGATGACTAGAGTGACGCCACTTTGTTCACGAGTCCGGCGACCAAGCTCTTCGTCTTGATATCTGAACGCCACAGCAGGCACCTTGGAAAGTTAGACGAGCATTTCGTTTCGTAGAGACAGGACTCGCCTGGTAGCACAGGCTCTTTCCACCTCCAGTGGGGAATACAACGACCGCACTACCTCCATCAAGAAGTCGAGTGATAGCTCTCTCTTGTTCAAGCCGAAAGCCATTCAGCCCGAAGCGTCCCTTGAGAATGTTGTTCGCAAGGACCTTGCTGGCTGATAGCGTGTCGGATACGCTCTCCTCGGGTCGACTCCGCTTGGTTGAAGGCTCAACCTGTGCGCCGTCGTTGGCGATCTTACGCTTCCCATCAGGCGCGATGTTTGTGGTAGCAGCGAACTGCTCCTCGTCTCCCGAAGACCAGCCAAACTCATCGTCGCTCATATCGGCGTGTCACGCGACGGTTGACTAGCTGGAGTTTTTCGAGATTTCGAAAATACAACCGCGATTCTTGTTTGCTGGCGAAGGTTGCGGTGTCACCCATGCGTGGCAGTCGCGACTTCAACCAAATCCAGGGTTACACGCCAAGGGATCAAAAGCGCGCTAGCACGTGATTTGACGTGTCACCCAGTCCATCTCGCATAGAGAGACGACAATTGACAACGCACTTGCCCAACAGTCTCAATAATGATGCAGATGGCTGGCAGCGTCCTGTGTATGAGCACCGTTACGATCAAGCTGCGCTGCGGTCACAGCGACATCTACCAGGGCCGGCCGCATTCTTCAAAAGCTGAGTGAGCGTCAATCTCACCTACTCCACCCTTTCGGGACATCCGCCAACGTGTTTTTGGACTGTTATCCGTATACACCTGGGATTATCGATGCTGTTTCATTTTTGAGACGATGATCCTGGTATGCCACGCCCGAAATGCTGCGAGGCCACCTGGGTTGGCACTCGCGTGGGATGTGAGTAAATATCATTGTCTCCAAAAGAAGCAGTTGGTAGCGGAGCATTGCGCCGAAATCGAAGATCTTTCAGACCCTGAAGGATTCGCTTTCGCTATTTCAATTCCTCCCGCGTTCGAGATTGATCTAGCGGCCAGATCAAAGCTTTACACTCGCCACACTGACCAATCACTGAGAACGTTTCCTTCTCCTGTACGCTGATCCGATATCCGGTGCATCTACGTTTAGTGAGAAACTGCGGGCATCGAGAACTAGAACGGTCCGATTTTGACCCCACTTTCAGGGACATACAGCAGCTGCAATGCCGCACATTGGGTACTTCACCGGTGCTCTTTCCGGGCTCACACACCTAGGGTAAGCCGGTACGCTACCACAAACAACGCACCAACTCACTCAATTCTCATCCGAGTTATACACGCCACATCCATAGTCTGGATATCAATTGCAAAGCCACTTGAGAATATAGCGTGGTCTTGACTTCCCCAGTAGCGAGTCTGCCTTGCCCGTGCAGCTTCATCGCGACACACTTGCTGGACACCGCCCTTTCCGTCGCATTGCTACGTCCGCATCTTGCATTATGCGCTGAGACCAAGCATTTACCGATCATCATCTTTTACGCCAAACTTCAATCGCCTATCCTTCGTCTATGTCCCGTCGAGGGTTACTACGACCCATCCGAGATGCCGTCGGCCGAGCCCTCCCACAGGCGCCTGCTGGACCTAGAGGATCTGGAATTTGATGCCGCACCACTGTTCGTCATCAGAGCGGGTGAGATAGCTCTTGAATTCGAGTTTGTCTTCTGTAATGAAGCGTTTCGCAGACTCCCTCTCTGCAACTCCATCCTAGCCGAGGAAAGAGCATCACTCCTGTTCCGCTCATGGGCGCAAGCACTGGGTGAATACAAACCTCGATATGAATTCGGTGGTCATGTTTGGACCGCAGAACTGGCAGGGAGAAATGGTGGCTTCAAGCTAGTGAGAGCGACAGGATCCGACGCGCAGCAGCAAGAAGCGCCTTCCTTGGAGGAAGAAGCAGACGATGACGATCATCTCACTATGAGTCGAGCGCCAGTCTTTACACGATCAAAAGCACAGCTCATCAATGACCTCAAGCGCGATAGATCAATATCGCTCAAGAACATTCCGTATACGAACCTTCATGCCAGGTGGGAAAGTATCCAGACTATGATGGAGATGAGCGATGTTGGAGTGTTTGAGTACAACGCAGAGGGAAAGCTTTTGCATGCTAATGAGGCATGGTATAAATTGAGGTAACTACAACCACAACACGATGTTTCACGGCGTTGACAAGTCCCAGCTCCCACCCCAAAAACGTCAATCCTGACGAGTTCTCATTCATGGATCTTGTCTACCCCGATGACCAAGCACTGGTCATGTCCATGTGGAATAAGCTTTCGCAGGGAAAATCCGTTACGTTCGAGATGCGATGGAAGGCACCCACAGGAACGGAACGCGCCGCGCAATGGGTACTTTCAGCTTGTGTTCCGGTCTTCGATGATGACAAGAAATTGATCGGTGTTGCCGGCAATACCGTGGACATCAACGCACAAAAGAAGTCGCAAGAGGCAGCACAAGCACAAGTGTAAGGTTGATTTGCAGCATGCCTGATGTAAACATACTGATTCCATTTCTAGCGAAGCACTCGAACAAGCGCGGCTGGCGGAAATGAAATTTGCGCGCTTTGCCCAAGTATCCCCTACCGCTATATACGTGTACATACCTGAGGGTGGTATGTGGGATCGGCTCATCGCAGAGTATTTGCTAATCTTGATATAGGCATGAACTTCGTCAATGACCATTTCTTCGAGCTTACTGGCCATCCACATGGTTCAGTCAGCCAATACGACTGGTTTAACCTCATCGCTAAGGAGGATGTCGAAAAAGTCAAGAAAGGTTGGGAGAACATGCTCACGAGCGGTAAAGCCAAAGGTATACAATTTCGTTTGAACAAGACTTGGGTCAATCAAGATGGTATTCGCTCGAATATATGGGTGCAAAGTTCAAGTTGCCCAGAGCTGGACGAGAACGGCAAAGTGATAAGTAAG